ACGAATCTGCACTTGAAAATGTTGAGAGAAGTTTAATAAAAACTCAAACTTCAATAATACTTCGGCGTGACTCCTCACGAGGCCATTTACTGGCTCATACAAAAAAACATAGAAAAAACAACAACAAAATAAGCTGGGCCTTACCTCCTGCAGTTTTCCCTTCAGTGCACTTTTGCATTTCCCTTGTTGTTTGTGCTGTTTTCCTGCTCTTTGTTGTTGTTGTAATTACATAGCACTTGTTGTTTTGGCTTTGTGCTAACAAAAGCCTTGACTCCACCACGTCCACACCACTTTACTCCACCCTCTTCCCTACTCCCTCCGCCCACTTCCCACTCCTGCGGCTCCTTCAGTGAAATGCACTCTCCAAAAAGGGAGAAGAGCCACCCATAACCCCACTCGACCGAATGGCAGCGCACAAAAGTATGCAGCTGTATTTTGCCGAAATGACTTTTGACGTTTCGTTCAATGGCAATATTTGCTGCTGCCTCGTGGGTGTCATGTCTGTGTGTGTGTGTTTATCGGCATGTTAGCAGCTGAATGAATGACTGAATGAATAGATGAGTGCAGGGCAAAGCCCACAAGTGAACTGAGGTGGCCGCGAGCGTCTGCCAGTCTGTCTGTGTGGCATCCTGTCATTCTTGACAGCCGGCTTTCCAATATATATCGAATATACACACTCCAAATTCTATGACGAAAGCTCATTTAACATGCAGTTTTACTTTGATTGGCTTTCGAAACGCACTTAGGCGCCTGATTAGCCCGCCGTTCGGCGTACATTATGCAGTCAATCAAAGTTTTGAGTTTCCCCACGTTCAGAGAGAGAAATATTGGGTGACATAATTTTAAAAGAAAGTAAAGTTTGAGTTTAGACTTTGATTTTACTTGAAGAGGTTATTTTAAATGTATTTAAAAATATAAATAAATAAATGTACATCCTTAATGTCAATAAAAAAACCTTATAGTTTTCTTATCTTTTTAATATGTTTAACTTAAATAAATAAACAATTTTATTGTAGATATATTAAAATGAAATTTTTCTTAAAAAATGTCTACACATTTTTATTTATTTATTTAAATTTTAATAATTGTAATTATTCGCGCTACAAGGGCGCTTATTTTCAATAGGCAGTGTGACTCGATTATCGGCTCCCCACTTCCTTCGGCGTCCGTACTTCCAGTCCACCAGATCTTTTCAATCTGCTTTCCTTAACCTTTGTTTTCGCATTAATATTTACCGAGTGCACTTTTAAATTAAAGCCGTCCGAAACAGTTATAAATAACAAAAGATTCCCTTTGAAATTACCTTTTCTTTGTACCACATATTTTTTGTAAATATTATTTTCCCGTGTAAGGGAAAGGACCGCATTGTTCGTGGATGCATGGAAACTAAGCCGCTAAGTGGATTCCCTTGTGCATAATTTTCAGTGGGTTAAAGCAAATTTGTGCAGCAATCTCCTGGCCATGCATGCAGTCCTATGTGTGGCCACCAAAGGGTTCAATTATGAACCGACGACCGCAAAAAGTTGAAACCTCAAAGCGGATACTGTGCGGGGCACTTGTGGCACACTACTGGGAACTGGAAAGCTGGGAGCTGGGAAAACGGTGGAAAAGCTGCTGCCAGCAGGTAATTTGAGGCCTTGTGGAGTGTGCGCTAAAAATGCAGCCAGCTTTGGCACGGGGGAAAGCCAGATTCTTTGCGGGATCCAGTATTTGTTTTTTTTTTATATATGTATTTTACCCCCTCTTTGTCGCCCTAACTTGATCGAGGGAGGGGGGAATATATAGTGCTTTCTCTTGCTTTAACAATTTCAAGGCTCATTGTGTGCCACGACGACGATGGCGGCGGCGGCTGGCTCTCATCATTGGCGAAGCATTAAATTGACTTTGAAACTTTTTACCTGCCAGCTTTGTGCCAAAAAGCACAACCCGCACAACCAACAAATTGGAGGCGAACTGAAACTAAACTTGAAATTAATTAACCGCGACAAGGGCAGCCCAGGTTCCGCCGAAGGACACAGCCACTCCACCTCCATTCTTGGTCCTGGTTTACCGTTCCCTTTTACTTTTTGCGGTGGATGGGATACACACGCACACGGACATAACTCATAAAACCTCTAATTACGCAAACAGCTGACGCTGTAGACCGTAGACAAAAAGATATAGAAAAGTGGGGGTGGATATATACTTGCCTCAGAAATGTGCACCTCCTGCGTGACTTCGGCAGCGCAGCCGGGGAATCAAATAAGTTGAATATTTTAATTTTCCATCATAATTAATGCCCTTTCAACCTGCCAGCCCAGCCCCGGTCTTAGTTTATCCCAAATGATGTGGTTCCTTCACCTAGCAGCCCGCAGCCTCCCCCCTCATTTTCCCTCTGTGGCCATCGAGCACGTGTAAATTATTGTGGCTTTCTGCGGCACGGATGATGGCCGGGCGCCTGAAAGCATGCTGCGTTATTTTCCAGTAGTTCGTGGCGTCCTTTCGGGGGCTGTGCCGTGGTAGTGGTAGTGTATGTAACAGGTGGACGAAAAGGCTTTTCGCTTCTCACTTTTCGCTTTTGCGGAGCAAATTAATTATTATTCAGAATATAACCCTGAAAGCAGCTAAGGAGCAAAACTAAAGGCTGGAGTCATTTACAAGAAATTTTCTCAAGGAATTTTCTATATCGAATTTTTCATTGCACAATTTTCCACCATTTCAACTAAGAACTCTTAACGGGCTTGCTTTTGTTTTGTTAAAACTACTTTTGGTTTTTATGTGGATTACGAATTTGTACAAGAAATAAAAAACGTTTTTTAATTGCTTAATAGTTTTCCTTAATTGTCTGCTTTTGATTAATTAAATGCTGTATTTTTTGTTTAATTTATTTTCTAGCAAATACATAAAGACAAGCTTTATTAATAGAAAACAAACTCCCTCCACAAATCAATGCAAACAAAAAATCATTTAATTAGGCAATAAAAAACGATGAACAGAAATTGTTATTTATTTATAAAGAATGATAAATCATAAAAAAGCATTCACTAATTTTTCTATAACAAAAAAACACTTTATAAAATAATTTCTAATATAAAGGAAAACAAATTATCACTTGATTTGATGTGTCACATACGTAAATAAATACAAATATTTTATAATAACTTAATTTATACGTGTAAAAAATTTAAAATGTATTTCATTTTAAAGATTTGTTGTAGCGAATTCTTCAAATATTGCTTTCTAGGGTATCCCCTAGTTTAATTACTCAATTATTTTGCTCCTATTTATTTTCGCGTTGTTTTGCGGCATCGCAGTTCGTGCCACACGCAGCGGCGTACTCGATGCTGCTGTTGCCGCCGCCGCATGTATTTCAATTACTGCATTTCTCGGCCCAATGGCCACGCCCATTGGCCACAGCTCACCGCCCCCATTTTTCCCGGGGAGCCAGCAGCCACTGTTTTAATTTGCGCTCCGCCTGCTTTTGTTATTTTTTCTGCTTCGGTTTTACTCATTTTTTCTTTTTTCCTCCTACTTTTTTTGTTTTCTGTTTTTTTTTTGTTGTCTTGTTGTTTTTGTTCGCCTCGCGTTTTTACGCAAATTCATTGTTTTAATTTACTCAAGTTTGTTGACCGAAAACAAAAACTAATCAATGGCTAGGGTTCGCGGCGGAGGTTAACAGGGTTGCCAAATCAGCTTACTTTCATGCCAGAGCCACTCTTTTTTTACCTTCATTGGTTGGGTTTTGAACGAAAATGAATTAATCTTGTTATATCAAACATATTTTTCTAGAAAGCGTGAGAATCTTTAATTATTAGGCATTTAAAAAAATGTTTAAAAATCAGAAAAATATTAATTTTATTAAAAAAAACCCAAGATAGGATAAGATAAACTAAATTAATAAATATTTATTTGAAATAGGAATTGAAGTTTACTCACCCTTAATAAAAAAATACCAATACAAAATAAATAAAAGTTGGTAGATTAAATTGATATTTAAAGTAGATTTGGGAACCCTGGGAAATCCTGTTCGTGGCTCATTGGTTTCATCGGAGTCCTTCGAAGTGACAAAGCAGCTCGTTCGTTCACTGAAATTGGGGTTAGCAAAACATTTAAACGGGTTAACAGAATATTTTTTAATGAAACATTAACTCAACGTAAGTTTTTGCTGGCATTTTTTGTGGCTTTAATTCAGCTCTTCAGGTATCTGTTTTTTTTTTGTGGTCTCTCTGTCGTCTCGCTTTGCGGCCAGTTCGCAGTTCGCTAAGTTGTGGCCGGGGATTTGATATCAAAGGAGCAAACTAAGCAAAGATTGTGTGTATATAGGGGAAGCCTCAAAAGCGTAGGAGATTATGACCAAGGGAATTAATGCAAATAGCGTTAAATGAGGAACGGGGACTCGGCATCTAGATAAAGGCGAGACTAACTGCTAAGCTAAATTAAATACGGGAAGAGCCCAAGAGAGGGACCCCGAGAACTACAAAGTTTTGCATAAAGTTGACATTTTTGAGATGGAAATACTTGAACTTTGAGTAATGATAAAGAAGCTTTATCAAAGGTTTTATCAAAATATTTTAATAAAATTATGTAGAGTTTTTAAAGAAATAAATATAAAATGTTGTTTTGAAATTATTATTTAAGAAAAGGTTTTTTTAACTTAGAACTCCATATTTAAGTGCAACATTATACTGGAATTACAGATACAATAATTTAATCTGTACTAATAATAAGTCAATTATATTTTAATTTTAAACACATTTTTTAATAAACAAAGTTTTTATCACATTTCTAACCACTTTCTTTATTTAATATAAACGGATATTTCCTTTATTATTTCTAGCTAACATCTTACAACTGAACGAAACAACGATACTAAACTCTACTAAAAAGAAGGTTAAGGATCACCAAAAATATATAAAACAACCAGAACAACAACAACTGCTACCTAAGGTTTCTCAAGCTCTAAAAAAAATAAACAAATAATACAAACAGAAGGAAAAAAATACACAAATAAGCAAACCAGAAAAAAGTGCAAATTATGTAAATTATAGCAAAAGCAGAGGCGCAAAGGGAAAACTGAAACCGAAAAGCAAACGAAAGAGAATTAGTCAAATAGAAACGGCGGAAAAACTCCCATAATTTAAAGAAAAGAAGCAAAAGGAAGCAGATCTGTGACCAGACGAAAACCGGAAATTAAATCTGCAGCGCTAAAACCAAAAAGTGGAAGAGGAAGCCGGACCACAGCCACCAGCCAAGCAGCAGCCACAACCGCAGCGAAATCCGAGGCCAGCAGAGAAGGAACACGCGTGCCAAATATTTGCTTAAAAATACCCGAATAAAATAATAATCAAAGGAGCGAAGAATTGAGAGATTCCCGTCTTTTTTCCATCTTCTGGCGTGAAAATTAACGAAGCCGCACGTTCCATGAAGTGAGTTCGATCCCCAACGAGACCTTGTTGAGCTTGGCTTTGTTAGCAGTCCTTTGTGCTAATCATCATCGCCGCTTGGTTGCCGCAGGAGCTGAGTGGTAGTCCTGGCCAACTATTTAGCCAAGGTGACGACGAGGCAAGGATTGCCAGCCACTTTGCAGCAGAGCCAGGGACGTAGTCGGAGCCGGAGCCACATCCACACCGATACCCACAGTGAAAGGAGGCGGCGGGGCAGAGCCATTCAAGCCAGGAGCCACGCGAAACAAACAAGCCAAGGACATGGACTCCCCGCTGCCAGCGTCGCTGTCGCTGTTTGTCCTGTTGATCTTCCTGGCGATAATTAAAGGTGAGTGCGCCACGACAACTATTCAGTACGCTTCCAGCTCCTTGCCTCCTTCACTCCTTTTCTACCCTGCTCTGGCCCCTTTTGTTTGTCCTGAAGCAGCGTTTACCTTTTGGCCAGGAACTTTCCCTTTTTCAGCAGCGTTTGCTTAGGTGGTCACTAATTAAATAATTGTAAATATTAAAGTATGCGGTAAAACTTGAAACGAGCTTTCAACGGAAATTGTTTGGCGGAAAGGACGCGACGAGTTCTTGCTACTTTCATTACCTTCTAAAAGGCTGACAAAAGAGATTGCCTCTAGACTCTTAGACATGATAAAAACCATAATCATTTAGACATTTATTTGGGTTTTTTTGTTACGTTTTAATGATTTAATATTTATGCAATAAAAAATAGAGTTACAAATATGACTTTAATACTCCAAAATATTTGTATTTAATTTATAAAGTATGTTACTCTCTAGAAAAGAATTTTAAAGAGTTCTTCAACATATCAAACAAAGAAAACTTTATTTTATTCAGAGCTAAAACTACAAAAACCCTATTATTCTCATTGAAAAATGTAGAGACTCCGCACAAATGCTGTCATCAAAGGTCAACAATGAACTTGTGAAGCTACATTAGTCAGCTGTCCTTCCTTTTTACTCGTAGTCCTTTCGCCAATTGTTGAACATCTTGCCTTACCACAGACTAACATTTGCGTTAACAAGTGCTTGGCTCGGCTCCACTCGAGCATTTTCCATTTTCCGCTTTTCGCTGAGAGCAGCGAAACTCGAACAAATCCCACTCATGTCGCACTATCAATTTCAAATGCGAAATCTCTGCCACTGAATTCTATCTCGCTCTCTCGCATAAATCTTCGGGCAAGGTGACACTGCGTGGCCTTGCAGGTTGCCATCATCTAACCAGCCCACCCACCCACACATTATTCAATTCCACATCCGATTTTTCAATTTCCTTTGCCAGGCATTTTCACGGCGCTTTAAGCAAGGGGCCAAGAAATGTCGACAGAATGTAAAAAAGTAAAAGCCAAACAACGGGTAGAGTACACAGAATAGCTATATCCACGGCTATATCTATTATATACGATTGTATGTGTACATGCGGGAAATTCCCAGGCAGCGGCGGCGGCGGCCCATAAATTCACATGGAGATCGCCCTGAGCCAAACTTGGCCATATTTTTAGTTTTCACTGCTCGCTGAGCTCCGCAATTGCCAGAAAAGCGGAAAAAAGTTAAAAGAGAAGAAAAACAAAGACGAAGTGGGTACGTAGGGAATGAGACAAATATCCGAGTTGAAAAAAAAAAAATATAGAATTGTCATGCGGAGGAGGCCCCCAGGAGGCCACATCCACACAGTCCGGGGGATTGCTCCCCGAAGTCACTCGAAAAAATCCACACCGAAAGCGGAGCAGCAAGCTGGGAAAACAAAGCCCCATTCCCAAATGTTATATATACAACACTCGTACTCGTCCTGGTCCTTGTCTCCCTCCCCATCCTGTCCCCCTTCAAGTTGCATCGAGAGCTGAGAAGTTTTAGGGAGTCCCCGCTGTTGACAGAAATAACAGGCTGCTCTGCGGCGCAGTTCAACTTAATTTTCGTTGTTAGTTTCAAGTGTCTCCACTGCCGCGGAGTTTTGAATGCACTAAATAAAGTTCCCATTCCGTTCAGAGTTTCCATAAATTTTTAGAAAGATGGGAAAAGTTTTGCCAACAAAAAAAGTGCTAAAATTGAGATGACTTTAAGTATTGCCTCAAATCTGTCGTCTTTAATTGATTTTTATGCTCTCTAGATTAGTTTAATTTTTTAGAAACTTAATAGATGGCACAAGCCTGGCTTTCATTTGAATTATTTTCTTTAAGCTTAGACTCTAAAAGCTTGTTTGAAGTTCAATATGCCTGAATGGATTTTCATGTTTTCAAGTATATCTTAATTCATATTTTACCAGCTTAGTTATTTTTCATGTCAAAAATTTATGAAGTTTTATTTAAGAATATTTTAAAGAAAGATTTATTTTATTTTCAATAAATGTAGACTCTAAAGGGTTTATATGTTTCATTTAACTAACGAATTTATATAATATTCTAGGCCACATCTATAGTCATGTTTATTAGGAAACTTGCATTGTCACTCATTTAGTAGCTGCTGAAATTAATTTTCCAGCTAAATGAGCTAATATAGTGACTAAAATAATTAAAGGCAAAGACAATACATGGGAAGTAGCTTTTGTCAAGAAATTTATCAATTATATAGGTGTCAGGCCAAAGGCTGCAGGTGATGATAACTAAAATTATAACTGAATTAATGTATATAATTAATTTGTGTTGAGAATTTAACAAATATATTCAAGTCTGCTTGCCTTCAGATACACACAGATGCAGTGCAGACATTTTCCTCATTTTCCGCACTGTTTTTGCTCTTGGCTCCTTTATAAAAGGACCCCATTCCATTGTCTCCTTTGCGTTGAAAAGTTATTACTTAGGCAGCATCGGGGGAGTAGGCGGCGAAGTCTTTGACTTTTTCCCGACCTGCTCTCTGTTCTCTGCTCTCTCTGATGTCTGTTCTTTATTTCTTGCACCATTTTCCCCACTCCGCTTTTTTTTTAGATTTTCCGACAGAGACTAATGAAGACGGCAGTTTGCCGTCCGCCGTTTGCTTTTCGCTTTTCGGGGATTGGGACTTGAGAATTGGTCGGCAAAGACAAATATTTTCAATAAGCCGATATCGGAGGAGTGTGCACTGATTGGAAAATCAGCAGTGCGAAATTGCCAAGACGCAATTTTTCAGCATTCAAGCTTATTGCCTTTGTTGTTTGCCAGTTGGCGGACGCATAAATTGTGCGGCAATTCCAGTCTGGGGCCATGGCACCTTGACACTGTCAGCCATTCCATTGCGTTCCCAAAGTATATATATGGCCCGGTCATATATTTTATTTTAAGACATTTTACGCATTTTCGTGCATTTAAATGACATAAATTTCTATTGGATTTGCGTGAAGAAGCTGGGCGCCGGACTTTTCTGCTTTAATTTCTGTGTGTGTATTTTATTTTTTGGGGAATGCGATTTTCCTGAGCAAGACTTGGGACCTGGGATTACTTGGCCACAATGTATTTGTTAATATCCTTGTTAATATCCTGAGAACTGGCACAGAACTTCTGGCAATGAGCAAAGTTCTTCCGTCTTCCATCTTCCGCCTTCCATTGGCATGTTTCAGGTTTTGTTCTAAGCCAACTTTCAAACTTGGCCCACACTGTCCACACTGTCGCTGCACGGAAAATATAAATTTTGTATTTTATGGTTATTTAAAGGGTATTTGTATAATTTAATCCCCAGGCTTTACCTTTTCAATTGGTTTAATAAGCGAATCAATTTAAATCAGTGAAATTTAAACGATAAGTTATACATTTTTTCTATATAAAAAACAACAGTTTTTCCATATGTGGTCCTATCGGTATAAATACAACCTTGACTTGCTCTTATACCGAAAGTGTGATGATGATTTTTTCAGTGATATATATATTTCGTTCAGTGTACCTTTCCCCTGCTGCCAGGTAGAGCGCATATCTCAGAGCCCGGCTCTGCCTGTGATTCTGGCTCCGAGTCTGCCTGTGACTTTGGCTTTGGTTAGAACTTCCGGCTTCAGCTTCTCATCGCTCACTGCACGGCAGGAGCAACTTTCAAGGTTGTCGTCGTCGTCCTGTGTGTGTGTGTTTGAGTGAGCATTTGTATCTGTAACTGATTTAGTTGTATCTGTGGCTCAAGACGGAAGAAGCGACCGAGGCAGCACAAAGCGGGCCAAGTTGCAGTGTTAGGAAAACAAGTTTCAGTTACACGTTCTGCACTTCCGTGGCGCCAACGCCGGACTAACCTTGCTCTCCTTATAGTTTGCATCGCTTTTGGCTAGAGGTGAGCCAAAATAATTGGATGACTTCCAGTAATAGTTGTGGTGATGATAATTCCACTAGCTTCAAGTAAAATATAGCTTTGGGCACGCTTGTCTTTTGAATTTCTAAGTAGTCTTGAAAAATATTTCTCTCTTTTCACTTCCTATTAAATTTAAACTTTTTCTGTTAAGATTTTAGTTTTTTTTTCTTAAATATTCTCGCCTACTGCTTCTTGCCCACTGCGTGTCGTGTATTTTAATGGCCGGAACCTTTAGAACTTGTGCAGTTTTTGTCTCCAAGGAATCTCCAAATGCCATCGTGAATCACGCTGCCATCGCTTCATAGTGGGTGGCTCCGGCCCAATTCCCCGCGCGCCCTTTTGGGGCACCTGTAGGCGTCCGCGGAGCTCAGCTCAGCTCGTCCCATCTCCAGATCCGGTTCCTCCTCATTGTCATCCTTGAATGAGTCAGCGATGCCGCCACAAAAGTTTGCAAATAAGTATTTTTTATACTGCCAATCCCGGCATTTCTCCTCCTCAGTATTCCCCGCTCAGGATCGTAAAAGAAAAAAAAAGTACAAGAGCAAGGAGGGAACTTAGTGCCTGCGCCTAAATAACCGTAAACAGCACTCGTGGGCCCCCAGACGGCGGGCGGATAGCGAGGATAATACTTGGGGGGAAGCTGAAACACAACTTGATAAGCATAAATTTGCTGTAATTTAACGCATTCAATTACAAAAACAAAAAAGAAGATGGCGCAGGAAAAGCCAGGGAAATGAGGGAAACCTGGCAGATGGCGGTGGGAGAGATTTGAGACTTGAGACATGCAAGCTGCGCGCGGCGACTTACTTAAAAATGTTATAAAAACGAAACAAGTAACAGGAGAGGACTCAAAAAAAAAAAGGAGCGGATGTTCAGGAGGACGGCGGCCCAGGAAACCGGATGGTGGGGCGGGCGAACCACACCTATATCCTTAGCTCACCTGACGGTGCGCGCTCGCTCGGGAATTTTCATTCTGTTTACGACCTTGTATTGGATTCCAACGACTTTGTGATTCCGGAAAAAATTCCTTACTTAATTTCAATCAGCTGCGTGTCGGGTTGTATTCCGCAATATCGGCTTA